CTTTATTAAAAAAACACGAAAATACAACCGGTTCATTAACCGGAAAGAGGGAGGTCTACCTCCGAAGGTAGCATAAATCACACCACTACAAAACACACAAAAACTAAAATCCCACTAATGAGGAATACATACTCCCCACCGGGAGAATTCACACTTCTAAATAGGAGAAGTCGACGGATGCTCCTATTACACTTGTAGTCTCTAAAAAGAAAAACACTTACGCACCCAAACAACACTAACACCACACAACAAAAACTTCAAACAAAGCAATACTAAACACACCCCCAACATGAGAAAAGCAGATAAAACACAAACACAACCACACACTACAAACAACACTCACAACACTACCCACAAAACACACCAAAAAACAAAATAAAGCTAATCAAGCCCTTCCCACAACCGATGAACACCAAGAGCTACCTACGACAGCACCCACGGTCGACCGCCCATACGGACCGGATCACGCCATGAGAACCACTCGAAATTGGAGAAACCACCTAACTACAGCTGCAATCCAAAGACCCAATCCCGTGTTCCAAACAGTCACCTCAGCCCCGCAGCTGGAAAAACCGCCGACCTAACTCCCCCCACACCACCACCGCCCCAATCCGAGCACACACCAAGGCCCAAATTAGAAAGCACCGGTTAGCCCCTTTTCACGCACACCCAGGGAAAAGGGAGCTCGGGGAAGCAAAGCATCGGTCCTCCGCTCCAATCGCCGCCACCACCGTACGATTAGAGTCACAGACCACTCCTCTGCTCACCACCGCTTCACCTGGAGGATGAAAATCCAACATCCCCGGACGGCACCATAAAGACGGTGACAGACCGCCAGGGATACCTTCATCTTCCAGCTTCGCAGAGATAGCCCTCCGAGCACAGATTTGGGGAAAATCGCACCACGCGGGGACTGTCGCAAGTAGTAACTGAATAATAGTTTAACCTACAACTCATTTTTTTTTTTTTTTCTAATTCACATAGTTAATGTTGATGATAGTTGTATATTTACATCCATTTGCACTTTTTTCTTAGTATAAAAATTTTAAATTTATGTAAAAAAAATATACCACAAGTTTATCTAATATTATTTTATAATTAATAAAATTGAGTAAACATGAGTCTATAATTTATTTTATAAGATACTTTTAGATCCATTTAGATTCGATTTCAGTTTTATTTTTAAGATAACCGAAATAGCCGAACCAACCAAATTATATAAAACAATATTATTTATATATAATATTATTTATTTTCAACAAAAAATAATATTCAATATTAAATAAAAATATTAAAATACTAAATATAATTTTATATTATAAATACTAATTATTTTTTTTGTTCATTCAGTTAATAGACCGAATAAATCGATTATCTCGATTGGTTTTAGTTCGATTGGGGGTAAAAGTTAGATAGGCTCGATTTTTCAAAAGTTCGACTTAGTTAGGAGCGGAAGCAGACTTTAAGAACAACGGGGACATAAACTACGGTCAACGGTCAGCATCGACGGTTAACGGTCAACGCAGGATGTCAACGGCCAAATCAATTGTTAACCAATTACAAAAAAAATAAAAAGATTAAATGTTGATCAGTCACTTTGTTTCCTATTTAATAGCTAGCGTTTAAGTATCACATTTTCTCATTTTATAAATAAGGATACATTTGATCCAATCCCTACATAGTATATACATTTATGTATTTTTGGAGGGAAAAGGAAATAAACAATAAATTGAGTATAGCATAACCATAAATTCCACAACTTAAAAAATAGCATATTATTGAAGATTAAATGATTCTAAATATTTTTTTTTTTAAATTTTTATATTGAACTAACTTTGCATAATAATTAATAACATATATTTTTTAATGTCATTATAATAATACATATATACTATATTACTAAAAAAATTTACAAGGGCTCGTGCCCCTGTGTAAATCCACCCCTGGACTTAGTTATTTCAATTTTTACATTTTGATCGATCAGTTTAACCGTATCGACCTATAATATCCCTAAATTTGGCACCACTTTTATTTCTTGTAAAGAGCCAAGATGATAGAGACGAGACCGCGTTGGCGTTTCTGAATAAGTATGACCGTTTGCGTATTTAGCTGATTGATGGCTCGATTTAATTGTCATGGGATTTTATTTCTATCATTATTAGCAGTATTTAATGGGATATTATTATTAGTCTATTTATTAAATAAATGTAGGATTTAGGGTAAGTTGAAGAGTATGGGACTCTTCTTTTGTATTTATGCATCTGAGCAGTGAAATAAAATCAGTCATCGTTGAAATTAAGAAAAGATATCTGTGTTCTTGTGTTCTTATTTTCCGTTCGAATATACGCTCTACATCAGTTGGTATCCAGAGTCCGAGTACGTTCCACGATGCCGCCAAAGAGAACAAACGCGAACGATCCTACCATCGACGACTGTTTCCAACGGGTGGACGATCGGTTTCAGGATATGGATGATCGGTTTGCCGAAATTTCTTCGGGAATTGAGGACTTACGGGATGCTATGAATACCATGATGATTGAGGTACGTACGAACCGTGAATGGGCTGACTGGGGCCATCGTGGAGGGATGCGCGGAGGTCGTGGAGGTCGGGGTTATCGCGGGGCGCCCCGCCAACGATCACCACAGCCGCCACCTACCGGGGAGGATTCCGACGTGACCCTAACCGGAGATAACCCATTCGCTGATGAAGACCACTGGCATGGCAGAGAAGATAGGCTGCGCACGCAGAGGGGTCTTGGCGGACGGGAGACGGACCTAGGGTTTACCGGCGGAGAGGGAGGACGCCGTATGAGGGTTGACCGACGTTTCGATGGCGATTGGGAGGACGACCAGTGGCAGCGCGGTGGGTTCGTTGGGGACCATCGTCGTCGCGACCGGGTTGTCCACGGTGAGGGTGTTGGCCGTCACGACGGAAGGCGATACAGGGACGGCGGCGAGTTCCAGCGGTACGACCCATTTTCTGATGATGAGGAGGATGGCAGGTGTGACGGTGGCCAGTGGCGGCGTGAGGGTCGTCGGTGGGCTGCTGGTGATGACGGGCTGCGTCCCGGAGGTTTCGGTGACCGGCGCGAGGGCATGCGTCCGATAGAAGGGGGCGATGCGTCGCATTGGGAGTCGGGCTTTCGGGTCGACATTCCCGAGTTTCATGGCGGTGTACAGACGGATGATTTTTTGGATTGGTGGGCAGCTGTGGAGGCCGTGTTTAGGTTTAGAGAGGTGCCGGATGACAAGCGTGTCGCTCTCGTCGCCACTCGATTTCGAGGACGTGCAGCGGCATGGTGGATGCAACTTACGAGCTTGCGGCATCGTCAGGGGAAGGCTCAAATTTCATCGTGGATGAAATTTCGTGAGTATGTGGAGCGTGAGTTCTTACCGTACAACTATGATAGCTTCGTTTACCATCAATTACATAATTTGAAACAGGGAGTGCGTTCCGTAGACGAGTACACGGAAGAGTTCTATCGCCTTTTGAATCGTGTTGAGCTTCGGGAGACTACAAATCAATTGGTAGCTCGATATGTTGGCGGGCTTCGGGTGTCAATCCAAGATATGTTGAACCTTTTTCGGGCAGAGTCGGTTTCTGATGCTCACCAACGGGCCCGTCTTGTGGAGCAGCAGTCGAATCGAAGGAATAGGGCACCTTTTTCGTCGGGCTCGCGGTCAGGCCAACCAAGGGGAGCGGAATGCAGCCCGGTCGTGCTACACAAGTGACGGGCAACGGCGCGGGACAACTTACCGCGGCTGGGCGGAATCCGGTAGCTGGCGGCAGTCAGCCGCGGTTGCCGAACACAGTGGGAATTCAGGGGGCTGCACCGGGACAACGAACGGGGACGGGCCTTCGGTGTTTTGGCTGCGGTGAGATTGGTCATCGAAAATCGGCGTGTCGACAGGGCCAGCAGTCACGTGGTTTATTTATTGAGGAGGTCGACGACCACGAAGTGCATGTGGACTACGACGGACCTCCACGGTTTGATGTTGAACCGGGTTTGAGCGAGGAGCATCATAACGGCGACTTGGGCACGACGCTCGTCATTCGACGGGTATGCTTAACTCCTCACTCCCCCGTTGATGAGCCAGTTGAACGACATCAAATTTTCGAGTCCACTTGCACCATTGGGAACAAAGTTTGCCGCTTTATTATAGATCTTGGATCGAGCGAGAATGTGATATCACAGGAGGCCGTGACCAACTTAGGACTGTCGAGTGAAGCACATCCTCGCCCATACAAGCTAGCATGGATACACCGAGACCGTGCGGTCACGGTTGACCGACGAGCTCTCGTGTCATTGTCTATTGGGGCGACATACCGCGACCAAGTGTGGTGTGATGTGGTTCCGATGGATGCTTGCCACTTGTTGCTCGGCCGCCCTTGGCAGTATGACGTCGCAGCAACTCTTGACGGTCGGCTTAACACTTACAGTTTCACGTTCGCCGGTGTTAGGATTACTTTGCATCCGAGTCCTCCACGTCCTACACCACCTCCGAGTCCTTCGACGGTTCTTTTACTTTCTCGGGCGGCCTTTGTGGTCGAGATGCATGTAGCACCGTTTATTCATTTGCTGGTGGGTTCGGACACTACGCCAAATTGGGCCGGTGGAGATTGTGGAGAAGGTCAACCCCAATGCCTACCGCCTTCGTTTGCCGTCTCATATTCGCACATCTGACGTCTTCAACGTCAAACACCTCGTGCCGTTTGCGGGAGATAATTCTGAGGGAGACGAGACCCAGCCGGATTCGAGGCCGAATCCTGCCCAACCCGGGGAGGATGATGGAGACGAGACCGCGTTGGCGTTTCTGAATAAGTATGACCGTTTGCGTATTTAGCTGACTGATGGCTCGATTTCATTGTCATGGGATTTTATTTCTATCATTATTAGCAGTATTTCATGGGATATTATTATTAGTCTATTTATTAAATAAATGTAGGATTTAGGGTAAGTTGAAGAGTATGGGACTCTTCTTTTGTATTTATGCATCTGAGCAGTGAAATAAAATCAGTCATCGTTGAAATTAAGAAAAGATATCTGTATTCTTGTGTTCTTATTTCCCATTCGAATATACGCTCTACATCACAAGATGATGATGATCATCATCATCATGATATGTATGCATCAAGATGAGACAAATTCATATTTCTTCGTTTGCATTAAGCAAAACAATATAGCAAAGTGCAACAAATTATTTTCATGTAAATTGACCCCCGAAAATGCAATATTTCATTGTGTAAGACTTTTGCAAAAGTATTCAATAAATGCAATTTAAATTCATTGATGAGGTTTAAGCTTGTTGGATTAACATGGCATAATCACGTTATTATATTGTGTTCGTGCTTGCGTTTGCATATTACCTCTCGTACGTCATTGTATTATTTCATATTTTTTGTTGTCTCATTGTCTCATTTATCTTTATATTTGTGTTGGCTATTATTTTATCACTAGTTCATACTCAATGTATTATTTCATATTTTTTGTACAGTGTCATTTGTCTCATTTATCATTATAACTAGTACGAATCTCAGACGGCCACTCGGCTGTCCCGATAATATTTTGACATTTTCTCTCTACTCTTCCATCCTAGACGAACAAAAACCCTAGCTTGACTCTTCAATTCGCAGCCGATTAGCCTTCTCCGGCGAAGGAGCGGCTCTGGCCAGTGGTCACCAACAACCGCTCGGCCGTCCCTGACATCGTGTCTCTTCAATTTTCCTGCTATGGTAAAAAAAGAAAATGAAGACCCGGACCCAGCCCTTAAGGGCTAAGGGTCCAGTTCATGAACCGGCAAATCCGGGTCGATTCCGGGACCGGTCACCAGGCCGGGTTGACCCTTGGCCATGTCTAGATGTACATATACAGATATAGATCCTTAATGTCTAAAATGTGTAAAAAAATATTTAAAAATATTAGGTGGGTAAATAATAGGTATTACAATCTAATTTCTCACATTGATGTCTAGTATACCAGTTTTATATTGTTACTATGACAATAATTATCTCTATATATCGCATGCCAAGTGATTTTTATTATATATCTTTTATTCTATACATGTCAAGTGATATTGATTATATGTCTCGTATTTTATCATTCTCATTTTATGTCGAGTGGTTTTGATTATATATGTTTTATTTTGTCATTCTTATTTATTTATCGATTCATGTGGAGTGATTTTGATTATATGTGTTTTATTATATCATTTTTATTTTTGTACGATTCCATGTCATTTGGATTTTGGCATAATATATTTTATTACTAAAATATAAAATCATTTTTTGTACAGAATTTCGAGAATTTTGTTATAAAGAAAAGTGATTTTGCTTGTATGTGTTTTATTCTATCATTCTTGTTGTACCGATTCCATTTCATTTGACATAATATATTTTATTACATAAAATCATTTGTTGTATAGAATTTGGAGAATTTCACTGTAAATAATTATACAAATTGTATACGTCACAAATGCTAATGTATTTTACAGAAGACATTGGAAAAGTAATCCTTAAATACTATTATTACTAACATATAAAATCATTTACTGTATAATTTTGTTGTAAAGAATATATTTGGTAATGCAAATATATAAGTGATTTTTTTTATCTCTTTTATTCTATCATTTTCATTTTTTCTTACTGATTCCATACCAATCTTAAGAAGATATTGGAAAAATAAATGTTTAAAAAAATATGGCTACATTCGAAATGATTTGACTGTACCAATTTCATTCTAAGGGAGGTGTATTCAATTGGGATTTCTAAAAAATTTTTACAACTTTAGAAATTCTAGTATATTCAATTGAAACTTTTTTAAAAAGTCTGCATGTATTTAATTGAAACTTTTAAAGACTTTTTATAAATATCTAAAAGTCTAAGTGTATTCAATTAAAACTTTTTAAGAGCCTCAATAAATCACCCGATATTCATAGTAGAAAGACTTTTTAAATTGGAAGACTTCTTAAATAAAATTATTACAAAGAAAAAAGTCTCAATAGTCATTAAAAATTTCACAAAATCACAAAAGTCACTCATTATAAAGTTGTAAAAAGGTCTTAAAAGTTCTGATTGAATACACCCTCTAAATCGTTGATTTGTATTTTTTTTTTAAATCTTACAATGAAGGTAAAATACTCCACAAAGCGGTTATCATAAAAAAAACGATCACGATAAAATCAAAATGATTTGTCTGTAAATAAACTCCGATGTAATAAATCTGTGAAAAAAAATTGCTAACACAATCAATGTCATATTTAAATGCAATGTGTGTTAATGTCATATTTAAATGCAATGTGCTTTCCATTTTTAAAGGCAACTATAATGAATGTAATTAATGCATTTTTTATTTAAAATAAAATTTAAAATTATTATTTTTAGTATGTAATTAATGATTTTGGTGAAAAAGACTTTCTAAAAATGATTTAACTTTATTCTTATATATATATATATATAGATAAATATGATTCTCGTTATAATGATATCACATGTCAAAATGGTTAATATATCTATATTATTAAAAGATATGCATGACACAGGTGGTTAGATATGCCCCATAAATAATTTCATATATATGAATTATTAAACTCTATAAAAGTTTCTTTTATTTGCTTAGAAAGATAAGCACTGTAAATAGTTGCATATATATGAATACTGAAAATTTTATAAATGTATTTGTTATCTATTTTGACAACTCACGTTTTAGTCCGCTTTAAATTTGATAACTCCTATAATTCTATAACCGGGAATTCTAAAATTTGCACAGATTCAAAATTTTTGAACTCCCGCAATTTATACTTTCAAGTCTTATTTATTATATTTACAAAATATCTACATAAGCAATGAAATCAGGAATTTAAAATTAATTTAATAATTAGTAATCTATATCAATATTAAAAGGTATAAATTATAATTATCAAAAAATGTTGCATCATTTTCGATTGTTTATCATAAATTCGTTGAATGGAGGCACATTGTTTGATTACATTGTTTTTATCCAATTTAGTGGCTAATTATTACTATAAATTGTATACATTTGTCTAAGAACATAATCAAAATGTGTTTTTTAAGATATTGAAGAATTTGCTTAAGTAACGCGAATTTATTTAACTTAGTTAAGCTTGCGACTTATTAGTGCCTATCGAAATATGTACAGTAATTAAATAGGTACCAGATATCTACATTAATTAAAAATATATAGTTACTTTCCTTTGTTATTGCCACAAAATTGGACCAAAGATTATAATAAAAAACTCGAACAGATAGGCAAGCTGTAATTGTTGGCCGATTTGAAATTTTATTTTGAATTTTTTTATGTAAATTTCAAAACAATCCACCACTTTTCAATTTTTTTTTTCAAAAAATCTATTACTATATAGTAGAAATAAGAAAAAATACAACAATAGTATGTCATTTTCCCGCTCAATATTTCAGATTTACTATCATTAGTATTTTTTTCTAGAAAAAAGGTGGTGGGGTCGGGGGAAAGAATAGGAAAGGTGATTTCACTGTATTTCTGACCGAGGGCAGGTCCTACCACAAGAATATTTTTTTTATTAGGGCGATAGCTCTGAAAAGACAAATTGTCTATCTTTTCTTTCATCTCGGGCAAAATACGATCGGAAGGAGCTAATCCAAACCCCTCCGGTAAAATAAGAACAACCCCTACATTCAAACCCCCTCTTACCATTGGCAAGAACTTGTTTCACTTGTTTATCATAAGGAATTCGAACAACTGCTTCAAATACAGTATCGGGAAGTACTGCTTGCGGAACCTCAATATCTACGGGCTTACTCGCTAAATGGCAATTGGCACATACAATACGTCCAGTCGCTTCTCGTGGATTTTCATAACCCTGCTGCACAAAAACGGGGTATGCACTTGAAATGGATGTCCAAGTTATGATATATATCATGAGCGATACGGAAATAAATCGAGTAATTTGTTCCTTTATCCAAGAAAAAGTATTTCTAGTTTGCATGGTCTAATCATTGATCCGAAAATTTCTACAATAAATTGGGGTAAGTCGCTCGTATAGTTCCCTATCCACGATTCTGCTATTTACTGGAATCATTTTATTGGAATACGATAGGATGAAAACAAGGAAATTCGAATTGAAATTCAAAATAAATTATTTGAGAAAGATATTGTGCAAAACTTACTTCTATAAACATTTACAATTATTTCTTTAAATTCGGATACTTTTTTTTTCAAAAAAATATATTCATTTGTCAGATTCACGTGCTTAAATATATACCATGATTTGTTTAACCATAATATAATATATAGTCATTTAAATGGATAGCATGTTTATTGCACAAAAATCTATTTCAACAATAAATAGAAACTAACAAATATGAAGGATGGCGTGTATGATTTATAGAGCATAGAATTGTTTTTATTTTTATTACGTGCAAATGGAAATATATCTCTCACTTATAATTGAAAGATAACCAACATCATTTTTTATAATTACTACAATGAATTATGTATACACAGTCATAGGCAAAAAAATATATTCATGTCTATCCCCAAAATTCTTAGAATCCTAACACATATGAAAATCATCTTCATTGAACCACTTTCATAAGATATCTATATCTATTACTATAAAATAGAAATAGGGAGTTACTTGAAATAGTATAAAAAAATTTCGTTTAAAATTTTCAAAGTTACTATTCTTAGTATTTTTTTTTTTTTTTTTTTTTTTTNAGTCATGTCAAATTAATTATTAAATAAATTTTAACCATATTTATCTATCTACAAGTTTCATATTTTATGATCACAACTAAAAATTTATATTTATTTAGTAAAGAATGTTAATTTTGAGAATTAATTTTTATATTTTTTTGATTGTTCAACTTAAGTGATAATTTCTTTATCCATATTTATCTAACTACAAAATGTTATAAAGTTTAGAAAGAATATCATATTATATGGATTCTTGGTAGCTATATTTTTGTACAAATTTTAATGCGAATATTTAATATCTTATATTTATTAAATATATATTTTTTAAAAACATGATGATTCATATAATAAATTTTTCATATATCATGTGTTAGATGTCTTTGGTTTGGTTGAGACACTCATTCTATTCAAATAAATAATATATATTTTTTCATATTTTGCATTTATTTTCTTGCAAGAATGAGATGTTAAATATCCTTAATTATGTTTAAAATAAACTTTTAAAAAGAGTTTTAAGTAAGAAGCTCGTCCGTGCATCGCACAGGATGCGCACTAGTTTACTATAAAAGGTAAAAACAAATTATTTAGTCGGAATTTCTACTTCTATTTTAAGTAAATACCAAATCATTTTATATATACATAGATTGCAGTTATTAATCGTTTTGCATAGTGTTCCATTTCATGTACATTGTCAACCACTCCTAGATGGCACTGCTTATATATATTCTAGATAAATATGACCACGGTTCAAACCGGCTCGGTCAAAATCGTTGACTACATGCGTTGAACCAACTCATGGTTTTACCCGAACCAGTTTATAATTGATTTTTTATTATTTTTTTTTTTTTTGAAATTTTTATTATTTATTTTTAAAATTTCCCAAAATGACCCTGAACCACTGGATCGAGAAATGAACCGGCTGCCTAGCCTGCCTTAGTCTTTCCTGGGCCGAATCCAATTCACCAAAATGATGAACCTGAACCGAAACTGGCCCGAAATCGGGTTTTGGCCACATCTAGAAACCCTAAAAGTCAGAAAATACCGACACAATCTAAATCAAGATTTACACTAAAAGAATGACAGTCAGCTAAAACCAAAGCCCAAAACGCACAGCAGTCAGCCACTTACATTATACACGACTAACCAAAACAAGCTTAGGTAAAAAAGATTGGTAGCCACACCACTGAAACCTTACATATCCCCAAAGTTACATAAACATATTGCAAAATAAATCAGAAGTTGATTCAATTCACAACCAGATGACAGCTTAAACTACGCGGCCCAACTGCCTTATCAGTTGCGAAAAATAAAAACATCCCACACCAGCTCATTGCCCTTACTATCTATTCCATCTGCCACTTCAAACACGCAAGCATCACCAAGCTTAATCTCATTATCCTGCACAAATTTCCTCCATCCGGCGGTCAACAACTTCGCGCAGTGTTCTCTCTTGAGGCATTTCACGAGCCATTCTTTCCCATCCGTGACCAAAACTATCGACAAAATGCCCAAATGTGGTAAATTCCGTCTACCAAATGGAAATGGTACATTCTGCATTTTGAGAAAAGAAATGAACAATTTTGTAAGGGAAAGCCAATGCATGCTGCTTGGAAAATCTTTAATGAGTTAGTTACCAAGCTGTGTTTGTTTCGGACATAGGTTTTGTGCATGAAAGAAATGAAACATGGTTTTTTTGGAGTGCGGCTCGAGACGAAAGCCTCTGCTTTCTGATATGCATCCCACGTTTCCTTTACGTCTGATCAAGTGCAACAATTTTATCCATTAGCCGAAAATAGAGATTAGTAAAAATTAGTGTTTACTAAACTTTCCATGGCATTTGATACTTTTTTTATTCAGAATGCAACAGAATTTTAATAGATATGCTAACACAAACATAACAATTGAACAAAGGGCCTTTTCTACTAAAACTACAGAAAAAAAATTCTAACCAGAACTTGATCCATCAAAATTGGGTCTTTCTTCTTTCAGGCGAGAAGAAATACCACGCATGTTTTCTTGATTTTTAGCTTTGCCTTTCCTTTTTTTCATGATTTCTTGACTTTTGCCTTTGCCATTCCTTTTTTTATCGTGTATTGGGTATTTAGTCTCATCAGCATCACTGTTATCATCATCATCATCATCGGAAGATTCGTTTTCCTCACGAACCTGAATAATCATCTTACTCAGAATGAACTCAAACATGTAGGATTTCCCAACGACTAGTTTGTTAATTGACTGAAACTTGGGCCAGCCGTTGACTATTTCCACAAACCCAATGCGCCGCCTTGACTTCAGCTCAACACAAACAGGATGACCTCCTTCATAGTCCAAACACACTCCCTCCTTTCCTACAAGACCAGCGGCCAACAGAAAATCCTTTGGGACTTGCTGATTTAATCAAACAAGACAAACATATAAACCAAATCAAATTGATACACAGGGAATGCTTCAAAACATTCTCGTCAACACTATGCATGCCAAGGAAAGGATTGTCAAATAATGATGGTGGTGATTAATCGGTGTTTACCAGTCTATATTGATGATAGGGTTTCAAGATTATCTTAAAGCATGGATTAGAGCCGCCAGATTTGGCCTCATCCTCACCGTCACTAAATGAAGCCTCTTCCTTCAGATCTGCAGAGAATGGGAAAAAATTGGAAAATAGCAGGAATTTTTTGTTTTTTTTTTTTTTTTTAAGAAATGCTACAAAGGAAAAACTCGACCGTCCCAAAAAATGAGGGGAAAAAAGCGCCGGCACCGTTTTCAAGTCTTGCAGAGCCTTCGTCGCCGTTGCAGCAGGCACGGCGAAAGGTTCCCTTCGCGCAGGCGTTTTTTCCATAGCCGCACACTTCGAAGGTCGATTTCTTAGCACACCATAAGAAAATAAGGAAATCGAACAATTTCAACTCCATATCCTCAAAAAATTCAGCCCAGCCCTTGCAAAACCAAATACTACCGTCCTCCATTTTCTCCACACTTACGTCCCAAGTGGGCCCGCCGGATATTTTGAGCTTGACCTTCCCAAGCAGAGCCCCAGCTTGAATTCGCGCGAATTCGGATGGGATTCTCTAAGAACAGAGTAACAAAAGTAAATAATTAGAATCTCTGGATGATGAAGAAAACATATATATACTGAAATTCACATGTGTGTGAAAGGGAGTTAGTAAGGACTTACGAGTCGACGGGTGAAATCGTCGCCGAACAGAATCTTGAAGAAAGTATTGCGCCGGTGCCGGAGTTTTTGTTCTGGTGTCCTGGCCATTCTTGGGAAACCGGTTGGGAAATGGTGACAACTGACAAGCCACGTGATATTTAAAGTGGTATAAAAAAGGGAAAAAAAATTTTAATCTTTCAAAGTATGTCATTTGAATTTGCCATATAATTTTATTTTTTGACAATTTGTCTCCCAATGTAATCGAAACTTACATTTTGCCTCCTCAATTGAAAACCTAATATAGTACAAAAGAGTTTTAACTCAATTAATGATAAATTTTAAATTAATCTTTAAAATTGATTTAGGGCTTTTAAAACCCATGGCGAGACGAACAAAATGAGATATGGTTTGTCGATTTCTGAAAATTGATACCTCTAAAATCGATCCACGAAGATAGCAGGAGTACGTGTGTATAGAAAAAATTTCAATTCAAGTTTTCTGATAATCAAGATATCCGATTTTCGATTGGGAGGTGTCATTTGAAAGCTTGAAAGACGAGTTTTATATCGAAGTAAATCTTATGAAAATCCAACGGTCGGATTTTGGTTAGTAGTCTAAAAAATGCTAACTATTGATCAATAATTTTCTAAATACTGATTAAAATCCAACCATTGGATTTTCATAAGATTTACGTGTCAGAAAATTGGTCCTACTAGCTTTCAAATGACACCTCTAAATCGAAAATCGGATATCTTGATTGTCAGAAAACTTGAATTGAAATTTTTTCTATACACACGTGCTCCTACTATCTTCGTGGATCGATAATAGAGGAATCAATTTTCAGAAATCGACAAATTATACCTCATTTTGTTCGTCTCGCCATGGGCTTTAAAAGCCCTAAATCAATTTTAAAGATTAATTTAAAATTCATCATTAATTGAGTTAAAAACTCTTTTGTGCCATATTAGGGTTTTCAATCGAGGAGGCAAACTGTCAGTTTCGATTACATTGGAAGGCAAATTGTCAAAAAAAAAAAAAAAGTTTATATGACAAACTCAAAAAAATGGCATACTTTGGGAGGTTAAAAATTATTTTCCCTATAAAAAATGTTCGTTTTTAAAGCAAATGACAAACTTCAACGGATTGCGATAAAACTAAGGCCGCAAACAAATGGAGCAGCATGCGAGACCGAACTCGAGTCTAGGTCGAACATGTTATCGAGTCGATCTCGAGCATCAATGTTGAAAAATCGAGCCGCTTGCAATATGTAGTGAATTAAAAAATACTCCATTTATAAATATTACTCCCTTTGTTTCTTTTTAGATGTCGTTTTAATTTAAAACTTCTAAATTACGATTTTCATGGGATGTGTAATAATCTTATATATTAATCCTCATAAATTTAGTGTTTGAATTATTAATGGTTGGTTTTTAAAGATAATGATAAGAAATAAAATTTGTTAAAGAGTATAAAGTTGAAAGAATGAATAAAATATTTCCAACGACAACTAATTTGCAAAAATGTTGACATCCTACAACGACATGTATTAAGAAACAGAGGGAGTATAACATTTTATATCTGTATTTAATGGTAATTTTACTTGAAATTTGAGTTGAGCTCGAGCCGAGCTCGAGCAATCTTTCGAGCATATTGATTTCAATCGATCTCAAACCGAGCTCGAGCGATTTTCTTCTTTTGTCGAGTTGATTTCGAGCTTCATAAATCGAGTTCGAGCTCGAGCTCGAACAAATAAAAAAAATCAATCTTGCTTGATAAAGACAATGCTCGACTCGTTTGCAACCCTAAATAAAATAAATTAGTACAACACCCTCTAGTACATGGAGGGAAATTGGTCCATATGACCTTCAAACTAAATATTGCCTAAACTTTGATCAAATAAATCATGTTAATTTTAAATGAAAATTGCATAAATTATAAAATTACTAGTATATCCTCTCATCTTCCTCCCAAATGACTTGGTTCGCAAAACTTCGACATAATTCAAACAATTTCCTCTACATCCCATCTTTGTCTTCATACATTCGGCTATTTTTTTTTTTTTTNAGGGCTGTAATGGGATACTCTATTTACAATACAAGCATTCCGCCCATAAAATTTTCTTATGGAACCGCTGAACGGACGAGTTGAAACCCCTTCCACCACTCATACTTTCTTCATGATTAGAGGGTTCGGGATTAATGCCACAACCCAGGATTTAAGGTAGTAGAGAGTTTGATGGCACTTTAGATGACTTGAGGGGCCAATTCGAGGTTTACGCCTCAAAATCGATTAATGAAGGCCAATTGTGGCTGCTCGCATATGCCCGTAAAAACGTTTAACAATATGTAAACAGCTCTTGCTATTGGATCTCCATGGTTGGATGGGATTGCCATGCTATTAACTTATTTGAGTTTGCAAATCAAGTGCTTTCTCGTTTTCCTTTACTACATGACACTATTATTTTCCAGCGAGTTTGCAAATCAAGTGTTTTCGTCTAGCTCGGTTGAACCGGTCAGTTCGGTTCGTAGATCGAAGACTAGCTAGGTTGTTTGGTTCAGAAATATAAGGGCCCATGGAGCTCGGATATTTAAGGCACTTCTCTAGCTCGGATACTAGAGAAATAAACGAAATAGAGAACCAACCTAACTATATATATAAAAGGTATTATTTAAATAAATATTGTTTATTTTCAACAAAAAATAATAAAAATATTCAAATACTAAATATATTTTTATATTATAAATATTAATTTATTTTTAGTTAATTCGGTTAACCGACCTAATAAATCGAGTATTTCGGTTGGTTTAATTTAGTTCGGTTTGGGACAAAAGTTGATTGATCCGATTTTTTCAAAAGTTTGACTTGGTTATCTCCATTTTGACATTTTGATTGATCGATATAATAATCGAATCGATCGATGAACAACCCTAAATATGGCACCATTTTTATTTCTTGTGTAGATGCATGAAGACGACGACGACGACGATGATGATGATGATGAGACAATGACATATTTCTTCGTTTGCATTAAGCAAACCAATATAGCAAAGTGCAACAAATTATCTTCAATATAAACTAAGACCCGAAAATGCAATATTTCAACATGTAAGACGTCTGCAAAAGTGTACAATACATGCAATTTACATTCATCAATGAAGTTTAAGCTTGTTCGATTAACATGGCAAATCATGTTAACGTATCGTGTTTGTATCTTAATTATTACTGTATTCGTCCTTCAATTTAGTGTTGACATGTTACCTCTCATACTCATTGTATTATTTCATAAATTTTGTACACTGTCATTGTCTCATTTATCGTTATAATTGTGTTTGCTATTATTTTAATCATTAGTTCATACCCATTTTATTATTTCATAATTTTTGTACTATGTTATTGTCTCAGTATCTTTACAACTGCATTTATTAATCATTTGCATCGTGTTTCATTTCATGTACATTGTCAACCACTCATAGATGGCACCACTTATGTTCCTGATAAAGGTGACCACGGTTCCAACCAGTCAGGTCAAAATCGTTGAACGCAGGCCTTGAACACGTATGTGGTTTTACCCCGACCGAGTTTAAAAATTGTTTATTATTATTATTAATATTTTTTATTACTTTTTTTTATAAAAAAATTCCCAAACACACCCTAAATCACCGGACCAGTTCTAAAACGAAACCGCTAGTTCATTGAACTGACAGTCTTTCTCGGGCCAATTTTGGTTGACCAAAGTGACAAACTTGAACCGGCCCAAAAATGGATTCTGGCCACATCTAGATCTAGAAACCCAAAATGCCGAAAATACCGGTACAATCTAAATCAGGATAAGAATGAGATACATTTTAGCTGACATTCAGCAAAAACCAAAGCTCCAAATGCCCCCAAACAACTTGCATTACACACGGCTAACCGAAACAAAACAAGTTTAGGTCAAAAAGATTGGTAGCCACCCTACTGAAACCTTAAATATCCCCAAAGTTACAAAAACATATTGCAAAATCAAAAGTGGCTTCAATTGACAACCAGATGACAGCATAAACATATTGCAAGATTGGCAGTGGCACGACCGACTATCCTATCGGTTGCGAAAAATCAAAACATCCCACACAAGCTCGTTGCCCTTATTATCTGTTCTATCTGCCACTTCAAATACGCAAACATCACCAAGCTTAATCCCATTATCCTGCACGAATTTCCTCCATCCGATTGTCAACAACTCTGCTCGGCGTTTTCCCTTGCGGCATGTCACGAGCCATTCTTTCCCATTCGTGACCAAAATTATCGACATAGTGCCCAAATGTGGCAAATTCCGTCTAGCAAATGGATATGACACATTCTGCATTTTGAGAAAAGAAATGAATGAAGTTGTAGGGAAAGCTGATGCAGACTTGGAAAATCATTAACGAGTAAGTTACCAAGATGTGTTTGTTTTGGACATAGCATTTGTGCATGAAGGAAATGAAAAACGGGTTTTTCTGAGTGCGGCTGGAGACGTAATCCTGTGCTTTCTGATAGGCATCCCACGTTTCCTTCACGTCTGACCAAATGCAACAATTTTATTCATTAACGGAAGATGGAGAATAGTAAAAATTAATGTTTACTAAACTTTCGATGGCATTTGATACTTTTTATTCAGAAGGCAACAGAATTTCAATAGATATGCTAAAACAGGGGAACAAAACGCCACAAACATGACAAACATAACAATTTAACAAAGGGTCTTTGTACTAAAATGACAGAAAAAAAAAATTCTAACCAGAACTTGATCCATCGAAGTTGGGTCTTTCTTCTTTCAGAAGATCACAATTTCTCGACTGATCCTCCATGTTTTCTTGATTTTTAGCTTTGCCCTTCCTTCTCTTCACGATTTCTTGATTTTTGCCTTTGCCATTCCTTTTTTTACCGTGTAATGGGTATTTAGTCTCATCAGCATCACTGTTATCATCATCATCGGAAGATTCGTTTTCCCCATGAACCCGAATCATCATCTTACTTGGAATGAACTCAAACATGTAAGAATTCCCAAGGACTAGTTTGTTAGACATCCAAAACTTGGGCCAGCCGTTGACCAATTCCACACACCCGATGGGCCTTGAAATCAGCTCAACATACGCAGGATGACCTCCTTCATAGTCCAAACACACTCCCTCCTTGCCTACCAGACCAGCGGCCAACAGAAAATCCTTGGGGACATGCTGATTTATCAAACAATACAGACATATAAACCAAATCATATAGATACACAGGAATTCTTCAAAACAATTTCGTCATATAATGATAAAGATTACTCGGTGTTTACCACTCTATATACATTAAAGCGTTTCATGATTATCTCAAAGCATGGATTAGAGCCGCCAGATTTGGCCTCATCCTCACCATCACTAGATGAACCCTCTTCCTTCAGATCTGCAGAGAATGGGAAAATTTTGAAAAATATCAGTAAGAAAAAAGTTGAAGAAATGCCACAAAGTGAAAACTCGGATAGTCCAAAAAGATGAGGGGAAAAAATCGCCGGCACCATTTTCAAGTCCTGCAGAGCCTTCATCGCCGCTGCCGCAGGCACGGCGGAAGGTTCCCTTCCCGCAAGCGTTTTTTCCATAGCCGCACACTTCGAAGGTCGATTTCTTGGCACACCATAAGAAAATAAGGAAATCGAACAATTTCAACTCCATATCATCAATAAATTCAGCCCAACCCTTGCAAAACCAAATACTACCGTCCTCCATCTTCTCCACACTCACGGCCCAAGTGGGTCCGCCGGATATTTTGAGTTTGACCTTCCCAAGCAGACCCCCAACTTGAATTCGAGCGAATTCTGGTGGGATTCTCTAAGCACAGGGTGACAAAAGTAAATAATTAGAATCTCTGGATGATGAAGGAAACACACACAGACGGAGGGGAGTGAGTGAGGACTTACGAGTCGTCGGGTGAAATCGTCGCCGAACAGAATCTTGAAGAAAGTATTGCGCCGGGGCCGGAGTTTTTGTTTTGGTTTCCTCGCCATTCTTGGGAAGGAATTGGGAATGGTGACAACTGACAAGCCACGTGATATTTAAAGTCGTAAGACAAAGGTTCGCTTTTAAAACAAACGACAAACTTCAACGAATTGCAACAAAACTAAGGTTGAAAACAAACCGAGCCGCTCGGGACATGGAATGAATTAAAAAAACACCCATATATAAATATTATAATATATATTTGATATATGTTTTTAATGGTAATTTTACTTAAAATTTGAGTCTAAATATTTTAGTTGAGCTCGAGCAATCTTTCGAGCATCTTGATTTTAATTGATCTCGAACAGAGCTCGAGCGATTGTCTTTTTTTGTCGAGTCAATCTCCAGCACCATAAATCAAGTTCAAGCTTGAGCTCGAGAAGATAAAAAAAATCACTTTTGCTCGATATATAAGGTCAATGTTCGACTGGTCTCAGCTCGTTGGAGAACTAAATAAAACAAACTAGTACGACATCGTCTAGTACATGGGATGAAATTGGTCCATACGACCTTCAAACTAATATTGCCTAAACTTTGATCAAAGAAAGCATATTAAATTTAAATAAAAAATTGCATAAATCACAAAATTACTAGTATGTCCTCTCATCTTCCTCTCAAGCGACTTGGTTCGCAAAACTTCAACGGAATTCAATCAATTTCCTCTACATCCTATCATTATCTTTATTCATTTGGCTATTTTTTTTTCTTACCATATAGTAGGGGCCTGTAATGGGATACTCTATTTACACGACAAGCATTCTACTGATAAATATTCTTAAAACGCTCAACAGACGAGTTGAAACCCCTTCCGCCACTCATACTTTCTTCATGATTAGAGGGTTTGGGTTTGATCTCACAACCCAGGATTTAAGGTACAGGCTTGTGGAACATGTGTTTTGGATTGACAATGGCACTTTTGATGGGTTGAGGGGCCAATACGAGCTTTATACCCTCAAAAATAGATTAATGGAGGCCAATTGTGGCTGCTCGCATATGCCGTAAAAATGTTTAACAGCCTATGTAAACATGTCTAGCTATTGGATCTCTATGGTTGGATGGGATTGCCATGCTATTAATTTCTTTGAGTTTGCAAATCAAGTATTTTCTCGTTTGCCTTTACCAGCTGACACTACTTTTTCCAGCGAGTTTGCAAATCAAGTGTTTTCGTCTAACTCGGTTAAACCGATCACGGTCAATTCAATTTGGACCGAAGACTAGATAGGCTCTTTGGTTCAAGAATATGAGGGTCCAGGTAGCTCAGATATCTAGGGCACGTCTTTAGCTCGGACACTAAGGAGCTCGGACAACTTAGGTATATCGATAGCTCGAGCATTAAAGAGCTCGGACAACTTAGTTATATCTATAGCTTGGGCATTAAAGAGCTCTGACAATTTTGGAATGACTATAGCTCAGATATTGAGGAGACGAATAAGGTTTGCCAACAACTGGGACATATAATAGCTCGAGCGTGATAACATAGTAATTAGCTCGAATAGGAAATGGATCGGCCAACATGGTAGGTCAAGTCCAGGCAGTTTACAAAGGACACGTGTAGGATCACAAATAAAAGAGATAGATGATCTGACGGACGAGAGTAGAGCCATGTAACTGACAGGCAGACTTATGGGTAGCCTAATAACCGACGAACAACCCTTTTGGTCAATCGGGGCAATCGAGCAGACCTTCGGGCAGTCGGGCAGAACAGACAATGAGACAAATAAGTGAAATTTAGAGGAGGTAAAGACTAATCACACTTCATACCCTTAGAGCTTTCATGGCATTTCATATATAGCTTTCCATATTACTTTCAGGCCAAAGAAATTGCTCTAGTCCCTTTTCCCTTGTCAAGCTGTTGGTCAAAATCAGACTCATAAAAACAGATTCCTCAAAACAAAATATCATCCTTATCCCCCAGCCGAAAGCTTCAAGAGTCATAGTCGAACTTCTCCTCTTGCCCTCTTTGATGCTTTCTCTGCCAAAAGAATATATATTTCCACATTTTTGCCAATATTGTTGCCATCTCATCAATGTCACTCATCAATTAGGTCTTAAACTGCAAAAATAACATAAAATTCAAATATATGTGCATATTCTTTCGCAAAATAAAATATGTGAGAAAACATTAATGTTATATCCCTATCAAATGCTCACAGATGCAAATTAAATCATAATATCACACAAGATTTCTCACGTATCAAATATCTCCAAACTTAAACTGTTGTTTGTTCCTAAGAAACTTAAAACTAAGAACACATAAAAAGAACTAAATAAAACAAGTACGTGAAATTTTCGCTCGGAGCCTCACATCTCTGACCTCTCACATAAATGCATAGCTCAAACTTCTAACTTCGAAATCAAGACGAAATTATTTTAAGAACGTAAACAATCAAGTATCAATTTAAAGGGACTACCACACTTCGTCAATTTATATCAATCATGCAACTAACGATACATTTTTATTTGTTAACCACTTTGATTCATTTTTGTTTCTAGCCGAAAATCAAATATCTCATTCTTTTCTTTTTATTTCTCTCTTTTTTTTAATTGAAAATGACAACTCCATCACAACTAATGAGATTAAACTGTTACTGTTGGACCTACGCACTAAATCTCCCACGGACTGGCATGTTGCAACCCACGATCTTTTCTTTTTATGTAATATATTATAGGTTGTTCACTTCAACACTCATTATTATTTTTTTATCCACATTCATTATTTACATCAACCTCTTTTTTCTTTTTTCTCAAGGCATCCATTACCAGTATTTCCACGTCAAGTTACATAACACAATCGACAATATTGATAAGAATATTCACTAACACATTTCAATAGTACAATAGTTCAAAATAACCTACTATGAATAGGTCACAAAAATATTAACCACCAAACATTTATTTCAAAATAAAGACCTCAAGAGTTAACCGGACACAACTAACTCAAAAAATAGTTCCAAACGACTCCAATCATCATGCAAAATTCCATATACAACACAACCAGTACTAAATCACTTTTTTAACAAAAGAAAGTAAACAACTAGAACATATTTACAATGCAATTCTAAATACAAATCTAAATGCACAGCAAATGCATAAACATAGACTACATGTTGTACTTCTTCCCCAAACTTACTTCATCAACATAACATACGAATATAAAGAAAAATAAGGGAATCGAAGAGCATGTTTGTTTATAAGATTTTTTCAAAAAATTTCCAACATTTTAACTCAACCATTTTTTTTAACTCAACTTTAACTTAACCCCACTATCATCAATATTATCAATATAATTAAATAATATCAATCAATCAATCATACACGCTACATTTACCTTAATTTACTATTTATCCACTCACATATTTTAACTAACCATCACTTCAAATCATCTCTCTCAAATATTTTTACATCAAATCAATTTTAATTATTTTATTTTAAATATTATTTTAATATACCCACTAACATCTAACCATCCTACCTTTTCAAAATTAACCAAACCAAACCAAAAATCTAAACAAAACCAAAAATTTTCATAAAGAAACATGCTTGAAGTCCCCGGATCAATATCCAATGGCGGTCCTCGTAGCTCGTGCCCGCGACTTCCCTTTTGCTCCCCGGGAGAGTCTGGCCACCTCCTCCTTGAGCTCCTTATTTTCCGCCTCCAACTCCTCGACTCGTCGGCGCAATTCGATTTCCACTCCCGAGCTGCTCACGTAGCTCGCTCTCGGAAGGTCTTGGAGTTGTGCAGCCACCTGGGGCATCGTCGGGTGCTCCATCAGAATATTGCGGCCGACTCCTGGCGTAGTGAACTCGGGGTTCGGTAGAGCAATGTGCTCGTCAGGAGAAACTCGCCAGAAGTATCCATTGTCGTTAAACAACACATCCATCTGTCCGGGCCCTAGCAAGTTTGCATCCAACGTCGGAACCCTTCTAATCGGCACCCGACCACTCAACTCTATCCCAACATGCTCTGCAATGCACGTCACTAGTCCTCCCAACGAGATCTCATCATTCCGAGCACTTACGGCTAGCCATGTCTCGACATAGTGATCATCCGAACGCATCCTCTGACCGTGCAACATACCCCAAATTCGCTTTATCATGCATGCATCCACCAAATTCCGATTTGCGCTCTTCCCCGTGAATATGTACACCATCATTCGCTGTATGTAGCGAATCACCGGGTTTCGAATTGACGAGCTTCGCGCTTTATTCCCAGCCCCACCAAACTCGCGCCACGCGTCTCGCTCATTTATCTCAAACGAGTCAGCCGCTGGGGCATCTCGGGGCAACCCTAATGCATCGGCGAACTCTCCGTAGCTCCACTCAAAGCTCTTGTTCCCAAGTTGGAACTCCAACGTGGCTTCATTATTCTTTTTACGAAAGGTGCTGAGAAATTCGAGCGTCAAATCGGCATAAACCGGCCAATTTCCCGTCATTACTTTTCTCCACTCCATGACATCCAGCAAATTCATTATGTCATCGTACAATCCCAGTGTCCTCAAAACGAATTCATCGATGTAAATGGTGGGAATTATCTTTCGCCCGATTAATCGCTTGTAGCAATTGACGTGACTCCAAGTGTTGAAAGTGATGCCATGTGCATTTGGAAAATTGACAGGCCCTCTGTTCGACTCTTCATCTTGCACCGGAGCTGAGGGAGTTGCGGATTCAGTGGACTGTTCCGGTGGCGAGGGCTCGCCAATTTGCCTGAGGCGGCGAGTAACCCGTCTGAACGGGCCAAGTTGCTGTGAGACGGCTGCCGGAGGTGCATCAACCCCTTTTTCCGGTGCCCGGCTTGAAGCAGCGGCTTGCCGTTTTTCCCGATTTAGAACGGCGGTTCTTCTTGTTATCATTGACGGCTCACTAGATGATGAGGCCTCTCCCTTTTGATCTACGGAGAATGGGAAAATTTTGGAAAATAACAGACAAAAAAAAACAAAAATCTTGTAAATATGTTGTGAAGGAAAAAGTCGAGCGTCCATGAAAAAAAAAAAAAAAAATGATTATAAGAGGGAAAAAATCGCCAGTACCAATTTCAAGTCCCACAGAGCCTTCTTCGCCGCGGCCACAGGTACGGCGGAAGGTTCCCTTCGGGCAGCCGTTTTTTCCATAGCCGGAGACTGTGAAGGTCGATTTCTCGGCACACCATATGAAAATAAGGAAATCGAACAATTTCAGCTCCATAGCCTCAACAAATTCAGCCCAGCCCCTGCAAAACGAAATACTACCGTCCTCCAGTTTCTCCAGGCTCACGGCCCAAGTGGGCCCGCAGGATATTTTGAGCTTGACTTTCCCATGCAGAGCCCCAGGTTGAGTTCGGGCGAATTCTGGTGGGATTCTCTAAGCACAGGGTGTCAAAAGTAAATAATTAGAATTTGTGGATGATGAAGAAAACATATACTGAAATTCACATGTATCTGAATCTGAGGTGAGGTGGAGACGGAGGGGTGTGAGTGAGGACTTACGAGTCGGCGGGTGAAATCGTTGCCGAACAGAATTTTGAAGAAAGAACAGCGCCGGCGCCGGAGTTTTTGTTTTGGTGTCCTGGCCATTTTTGGGAAGGCGGTTGGGAAATGGTGACAACCGATGATATTGAAGTAGTTAAAAGAGTTGTGTTTTGTTTTTTATTTGTTAACACAAATGGCAAAGATAAGAGGGGGCTCGGACAAGGGGTGGGCATGTCGCGCACATCCGAAATTTGGCAATTCTCATTACCTGCTTTGGTTTTATAAATTAGGGGTGTTCACGGTCCGGTTTTAACCGTAAAAAACTGTCAATCTGGACCGCGGATCGGTTAAATGGTCAGTTAAAAAAGCCTTAAAAAATTCGGTGGTTAATTTTTTTAAAAATCCGGAATAACCTGTCCGGTTAACGGATTACCTTCGGCAAACCGCCGGTTTAACCGGACCGGACCGGTAAATATTAAAAAACTATAACAAATATATACATATACATTAGGTTATTCACTATGGCCGACAAATACAATACATTAACTATGAATGCTTTGCTCTTATTATTCCAGGTGTATAAACTGACTGAAATATGAATGTTTGCTTGGGTTCAATTTGAATAATTTAATCTTCATCATTTTTGTATTTTTATGTTTGTGGGACGAAATGTGTATTTTTATGCTTATGGGACGAATTGTATATTTTTTTATTTCATGATTGTTGTTTTTCTTAATTTTTAGGCCCAAATAATCTCTTTTGGACCCAAAATTGAAAAATAAAAACTAAACCCAAAATAAAAAAAAATAAAAATTAAAGGCCCAAAACAAGGATTTTGGATTTAACCGGTTAACCGCCAAACCGGACCGTCCAATGGGGTCCGGATTATGGTCGGTTAAAAAATAAAACCGGTCCGGTTATGGACAAGAAAAAAAATTAACCGTTAGGTCCGGTTTGGTCATAGTTTGGACTAAAACCGGACCAATCCGGATCGTGAACACCCCTATTATAAATAAGTCTAAAAATGGTTTGGGACAAAACACATTTCCAAATGGACTTTATTGGGATTAAGGATGCAAACGAACCAAGTCGCGCATTGGTCTTATCGAGCAGGATTTAATTATTTTTAGTTGTTCGAACTCGAGCTCGAGCTCGATTTATGATGCTCGAGCTCGACTCAATAAGAAAATACAATAGCTCGAGCTCGACTCGAAATTAAATGCTTGAGCGCGACTCGAAAATTTTAAGTGAAATTACCATTAAACACTTGTGTTATATTATTTAAATATATAAGGGGTATTTTAGTAATTTAATATATATATCGAGCCGCTTGACAATACAAAATATGGGCTCGAGCCGCTCGAGTCGAGCTTTGGCTCGAGCCGCTCGAGTCGAGCTTTGACTCGAGCGCACGAGCCGTTCGACTCGTTTGCAGCCCTAATTTGGATCGAGACAAAACAGTTCAGTAGCATGTCGATTAAAAGAATAAAAACAATGTTTGTTTCAAGTAGAAAATTATACTTGTAAAACAAAATAATCAAATAAAAAATATTTAGCTAATTACATTAATATTTTTTCCAACTAATTCACCTANAAATCTCAAATAAATATCTCATGATTTTTAAAAGTATTATAAACACACCAAGATTTTTAAAGTCCAAATCATAGAATTTTTGGATGCTCTAATTGGAATATATCTTTGCTATTTTGGCCCATATTCACTTGTGTCATTGATGCAATACATGAGTAATTTTTTCTTCTTTTTTTTTTTCATTTATAGCGTAAGTTATATTTGAAAATTAGTGCAATACCGTGTACTACACGGATGCTTGAAAAGAATTGATACTTTTATAAGAAAAAAAACAACAAAATAATTATATTTTTATTGGTAATTATAAAAAATAAAGAACTAAAAAAATGATATATATTATTTAACATCAACCTGTGTTTTATACTTGATTTATTAATAATAATAATAATTGTTAATTATATCTATTAAATTATATATGTCCAAAGAAAATGTTATCTACAATACCAAAAATTTTATTTTGAATTTTATAGCTTTCTTAAAAGCTTTATTGCATTGTGATGATTGATTTCTCATATATTAAATTTTAAGTATATTAAATTTAATAATATTTAATTATTTATAATATAAATTAATATATATAATCGTAATCTATATATATATAATTACTAGCTCAAAACATTTAATAAAACCTATTTAATTTTACCTATGTGGCAATTTAACAATTTTTCCTCCAAAAACCGTTACATTTTGATGTATTTAATCTTTCATTTAATCATTAAATAATTAATACTCATCACTTCAAAATTACAAAAATTATTTTAAATTTTTTATTAATGACAGTTGACCATATAATGTGTTGACCGTATAATGTGATTAGATGTTATTATTGTTGTTACATTTAATTTTTTTTTTAAGAATAAAAAATATATTTGAAATTCCTAGATAAATAATAAATAATTCACAAATAAAAGACGTACCAAAATATACATTACATCCAATCAGATAAACGCAATTTAAAAAAAAAAATTCAACTCTTTTAATTGTAAATTTAGTCTGCAAAAAAATGAAAGAAAAATAATTAATCATTATATGCATATAGACTCACAATAATTTATTTATATCTGTGCAAATGCACAGGTCGAATACTAGTATTTTCTAAACTTATGAAATATATATAATTTTTTTATTTTCAATTATGATATTCATTTGTATTATTGTTTACAACATCATAATAACATTCAAACTTTATACATATTTTATTTACGTCGAGACATAATTTTTTGGATATTGTTCATATTAATTTTTTATTGATACTCAATTTCTACATTTTCCCATATCTACAAAAATAATATACTAAAATAGTTGTTTATGGCATATTCCTAAATTTAATTTTTGTTATTTTATGGACTATAGTTTTATTTGATATTTCTCATTTGGTATGATAAATAAATTTAAATTTTATTTATAAAGACATGTAGCATTATTTTTATATTAATATATATATGCGATATGGGTATCAAATCAAAAATTGTTAAAGATGGTATTTTGATATATCATATACGGAAAAAAAGTATACAAATAAAAAAGTTTTTTTTTTAAAAAAAATAAGGAGAATAAATATAAATACGAAAAGAAATGTAGTGTATGGTAACTAATAAAAATGAAAAGTAATATAATGTAATTTAAGAAAAGGAAAGGTAAAATAATTTTATGGTAATTTTTTAACCTAGTTGTTAAACCAAGCATGTACACGCGTCAATATGAAGCATATATTTGTGCTAAATAAGCTCCCAAAAAATGCGAGTCTGACATTTAAGCTCAGTGCATTCGAGAAGTATATATAGAGGCGATATTGTGAAATACAACACTAAGACCACCTCCAGAGTTTACTCTACTTAGAGTAGAGTAAGCCAAATATCACGTTTCATCTCGCGTCGTTCGCGCTATATTTTACTCTACATTAAATATATTACTTTTTTATTTGTTTTTAGTTCAAATATATTATAATATATATTTGTTACCCAAATAATAAAAATATGTTTATGTGTAATCTCATAAATACAAATTATATAGTACTATAAATCTTTTGTTTTATTGTGGTAAATTTTTATTCATGTGATACTATTAAACTTTACAAAAATAAACTAAATCACATATATAAATAAAACCATCAAATTATTTAACATTCAAAATACATTTACTAAAACATATTATACAAAAAATTATCAATAATATAATACAAAAAATACATTTCACATATATATTGTAGCACAAATTTACAACGCAGCACTGGATAAAAAATTGGCGCACAACTCCAGCGAAATCACAATTGTGGCGCAGTATTGGAGCAGTGTTCTAGAAGTCACTAGGCACCCGCTAGACGCTCGATCAACGCCTAGCACCTCGAGCGCCTAGGCGGGGCCTAGAAATCATGATTAAATATCTTATTTTTTGTTTATTTTCAATACTTACAAAATAAAACTATCTACAACATATGATAAATCAACACAACTAAGTCCAAATAATAAAATTAGTGTATTATAAAGAAAACATTATAACAAAATAATATACTTAGTATTTGAAAATATTAAAATAGATTGAAAAATTTCCGCCGAGCCCGCCTAGGTGGCGCTTAGGTCCACCTACGCGCGCCCAAGCGACGCCAAGTCGCCTGGCCGCCGAGCCTGCCAAGGAGCGCCTAAGTGCGCCTAGGTGCCGTCTAGCCGCCTGACCGATTTTTTCAGCCGATTTCTGCAAATTGAAGGCGGCCGGACACCGCGTAGCGCCTAAGCACCGTCTAAGCCGACTTTTAGAATAGAGCATTAGAGGTACTCTCATAGATCATCAACACATTGGTTCATGTCTCAGTTTGCAAAAATTAAGAGCGTATTTGTTTATGAAATATTTCATTCAAAATAAGTTATTTTAGTTAACTAGAATTAATTTTAAAAAAGGTAGAATAGTTAATTGTTAGTGGGATTTTAATAATTTATTAAAATAATGTTTAAAATAAAATTATTATTAATGATTTGATGTAAAAGTAGGATATAAATGATTGGAAATGATAGGTAGTTAAAATTATGTGAGTGGATGAATAGTGAATTAAAGTTAATGTGATATGCAAGAATGATGGTTTATAATATTTAATTATATAAATAATATAAATGATAATAGAGTTGAATTAAGGTTGAGTTATATTTTGAGTGTGAAATGAATTATTTCATAAACAAGCATGCCCTAAAAGTCTTTTTAACTTCCACAAATTGAAAATGCGTGCTTAATTTGTAATTGGAATAAAGTTTGTGATTTGTTTTGTAATTTTTAGTATCTTATAATTTTACTGAGTGTTTGTATATACGTTGTATATGTAAGTTTATACGTGCCTTTGTGTAGATATGGATAATAATTTTGATATAACTTTTTATAGTTGTAATTTACATGTTGTAAAATTTGAATTTTTTGTTAGAATATGATAATATTTTATAGAGATTGCATTTTCGGGGCTTTAATTTACATTAAGATAATTTATTGCAATTTGCTATATAGTTTGCCGATTGCAAACGAAAAATGTAAATAGTCTCATCTTGATATATGTCTTATTATTATTATTATCTACAAGAAATAAA